CGAAAATCGGTAGTAAAATGGAAGAGATATGAGCAAAACACATTTACATGTTTTTAAAGGGTGACTAAAAACTTATGATCGGGAGTGTAGATGGATTAATTCAGGTATTTTGTTTGAAATGACTCAAGATAGTCACTCTGGTCCAATTCGGGAGTCACCAAAACAAATAAAATTAGGTAAATAAAGCATTAATTTAAAACCAGTTTAATCGAATTGGGCTACAAAATGGTGAGTTGACAACCTGCAAGGAGCGGAATAACTAGCTCTGGTCCTCACAAGTTCCTTCTTTACGCCTCCCCGAGTCATATGATAACAAAAGACTACCAGCTGAAACATGGATACAGCTGGGTGGCGTAGCCTGGGCAATGTTGCCAGTCCGGCAATAGCAAAGTGAAGAGGTGCGACGCGAACACATAGTACGGTGATAGAGGAAATGCTTCACCAAACCCGAGCGTTTGTTCACCATGGAGGTGCGGCTCAAAACGGCGTCTGTTCTCTATGCTAGGAGGGGCTGATCACCGTCCTAGTGCCAGCGTGGGACTCTAAACAGAGCTGTGCACGATGGTCCCCCGGCGAGACAGGGGGTTGGGGCAGGCCCAACAAGCCGCCCTGGAAAAAAACATAATGTTGCAAATACTGAAGAAAGAAATACGGATCGGAACAATTGGCACAGACCAACGCGACGAAATAAGGACTACGATTGAAAACTCAGAACATGGAACTGAAAATCGCTGCGATAGGTTAACTTTGCTGGACGGGACAAAAGGTATGGAAAAGCGGGCATCGAGCGGCTACTTTCTACCAGAGCTGTGGCACCACCAACGAGCTGGGAACGGGCTTTGAAGTGCTGGGTAAGATGCGCCAACGCGTGATTGGTTGGCAGCCGATCAACGCGAGGATGTGCAAGTTGAGGATTAATGGCCGTTTCTTCAACTACAGCATCATCAACGTGCACTGCCCACACGAAGGGAGACCCGACGACGAGAACGAAGCGTTTTATGCGCAGTTGGAGCAGGTGTACGACGGCTGTTCGCAACGGGACGTCAAAATCATCATCTGCGACATGAACGCTCAGGTAGGACGGGAGGCAATGTATAGACCGGCAATCGGGCCAAACAGCCTGCATGCCGTATCGAACGACAACGGCCAAAGATACGTGAACTTTGCAGCCTCTCGGGGTAAGGTAGTTCGAAGTACCTTTTTCCCCTACAAGGATATTCACAAAGCCACCTTGAGATCACCTGACCAACACACAGAAAACCAAATCGATCACGTTCTAATCGTCGGGAAATTCTTCTCCGACATAGATTCGGACCACTACCTTGTTGCAGTATGCATGCGCGCAAAACTCTCCACGGTGCATAACACCCGTCGAAGTCGAACGCCGCGACCCAACATTGAGCAACTACGGGACGCCGGAGTTGCCCAGGACTACGCGCAGCAGCTGGAAGTTGCACTACCCACGGAAGAGCAGCTTGGCGCGGCTTTTTTTGAAGATGGCTTTAACATATTTGTAGTTCTTTGGCGAACGTTTCAGCTCAATTGATCATAACCCAAGTAACATTGCAAGATTTACAGTGGTTTTAAAGCATGCTATAAGTCTATATCATGGTCTACAGAACCCTCATAAAACCAAAATTGTTACTTGGGAAGTTAACAAAGTTACATCATGTCAAAGTTGACCATTTTGTATGGAAATTGGCATGCGCTGCTATTTTATCGAACACAACTGTAGGTTGTTAGTCTAGTCAAGAACACCATGAAATTACATTTGAAATTGTTCAAATACCCCCAACATTTAAAGTTCTTGTAAAAAAAAAACAATATTAGGTTAGTGATCGCATACTATCAAGAGCAACTCAATCATTACTCAACCATTTTTTATTATTATTTTTAAACGTTTTTGGAAAGCAACAGGTCAGAGTTATTGAAATATAAATACATTTGTGGTGATTTTACAGAAATTTAATTTTTATACAAAATAAATCGCATTTTTCAGAGTTCAGACTTCAGAAACCATTAAGGTGACTAAACCATGATTCTCCCCCCTTGCCGTAATATAACTTGTTCTTTATGCGATGTAGTGTGTTGCTTGGGTCAAATCTATCTCGGGTACATAAAAAATGTTAAATAGTCTAAATGAAAAAGATTCACATAGCACTTTCATAAAAAAAATATTCCGTCGCGTTTCTGATAAAATCGCGAAAATACATTGAAATTCCAGCAATCAAAACTAACAGGGACATCTCCAGGTAGAATTTACATATAAATTTGGCCAATTCTAACGTTTTTGCAATTTTCGGAGCTGTCCACGCCGCATTTTCGACATGGGTAATCAATATCAATTTCCTTCATTTGTCATCCAATTGGCACAACTTTTTTAAATACACTGGAGTCGCTTTTTACGCGGGTGATACGTCCCGCGTAAAAAAAACCGCGTAAATTCCGGAATCCACGTAAAAAAAACCGCGTAAATTCCGAAATCCGCGTAAAAAAAAACCGAATAAAAAAAGACCGTGTAAGAAAAAAACGCGTAAAAAGCGATAAACCGCGTAAATTCTGAAATCCGCGTAAAAAAAAAACCAAAATCCGTGTAAAAAAAAACCGCGTAAATTCCGGAATCCGCGTAAAAAAACCGCGTAAATTCCAAAATCCGCGTAAAAAAAAACCGCGTAAAAAAAACCGTGTAAAAAAAAACCGCGTAAAAAGCGACTCCAGTGTACTCGAAACGTAACGAAACTTTTAGCATTGATAGAGGAGCACACAAACAAACTGCTGTTGAAGGATTCCAGATCCGAGCACTAGGAGCTTTATATGTTTAAAATTAAAGAGCGACACACAATGCATCAAGATTTGATCCGTTGCGGCAAACCTGGCAGTTAGACAAAAGATTTAGGTATCACTTTGGGCAACGTATCACATCCGAATGCATTGTGCGGTGCACTTAACACTATCATATAACATTTAATGTTCGCTGAAATTTCTGAAATTGTTTAGTTGAAATATTCATCCTGTTTTAATCTTTCCGGTAGTTTGTTAGCTATTTCAGTTTATTTATAAGAACGCTCAGTCAAACAAAAATGCATTATTCACTTAATCTAAGTAGTCTAGAAATTCAAAGCACCACATTAAAGAGAATGGCTTAAGAAAGCAAGAGCATTGCGAATCTTCTATGAATGATTGCATTTTAGTTGCCAACGATTGACCATAAAACTGATGAGTAGATAATTTCACACTTAATACTTATGAATTATGACTTCGTCTCGAGGTGAAAAGACGCCAAGACGACCGATCGTCGGGAATGCGGTGCATACTTTCCTGCCAGATTTATGACTCATACCCATTAGATCCAATTGATATAAATCACCGATGGAGGATACACTCAGTGTTTTATGTCTCTGCTGTTGGCGTGGTTGGTGGGTAGAGAATATCTGTGGTTTATTATTATCCATTCAGTAATAAGAAATTTCATTTGAAGTGGTTTTAATTGAAATGTATTTCGCTATCCTTCATAATGTGAACCCACGTACTTTCAGACGAATATTTGATTTACACTTTCTGTCCACCCACGGTGAAAGACGAAAACGCTTTCGTGACAAATTTAATCATTCTGAAAGTCAGTCATCGTTCGTTCGGAGGAATATTCCTCAGAGAATTCCAAACCGACAAATTTCCCTCGGCTGCTATCACTTTCTCATTTACGACTTTGTTCACAATTTCCTACCGAATGACCTTTTCTGTGTTGGAGGCTACGCCGTACGAAATTTCATCAACCACAATGAGCTTGCAAATATCAAATGTTCATGGTCATAACATTGGAGACGCAAAGCTGATGGCTCCACCCTCGTCTCCAGTCGGTTGGATTGATGGAATAAAACCAGATAAGACCGAGCAGGGTTTTCGCTTGGGAATTCCGGTCTTCTAGGCGTACGAAATGCACTTTTCGATTACCACTTCCTGGTAGGTTGAGCAAGTTTAAATTATTGTAATGGGGATTCTGGGGATGGGCAATGGAATGGGATTTTTTTTTTAATATCACACATTCTGTAGACGTTGGATGTGGTACAGCATTTCCATTTTCTTTGCGTTTTGATTTTTTCATCATCTATTACTCACAGGTAGGCGTTTTATATGACTGGTTTTTGCTATTCCCAATGCGTAAATATTCTTCGTATTTATTTAGCAGGAAAATTCTTATTTTTTCAAGCGCATCGAATGCTGGCTCTTTTTCTTTTTTTTTGTACATACTTTCATAGGACCATGCTCTAAGTGTTAAAACGTTTGATACACACATAAAAACGAAAAACGCAAATAAATATCTGTACTTTCAAATCGACACATGTAAACGGGAAATTCAGTTGAATCAAATGCGATTATGACATGGTTGTTTACGTTTCATAATCATGATCGGTTTACGTTACGTGTAATTCTATTATTTGCTATAAGTGAAGATAATATTCACACCTAAAACTAGATTGCTATGATTTTTAGAAGCCGACTTTGCATGATTGCATTGAATTCATTTCTTACAACGGAAATCATGCATATATACAACGTGGTATTGCACATTAATTTTGGGTGTATCAACTTTCCATATCTCCGTCTGCGAGAATGAATATAGGGTCAATGTACTAGTTAGTCAGGCAGCATGTTACTCGGAACTCCATACACCACAAAAAGGGCTCAGCATACATATGAATGTATTTATCCATAACAGGTACAGTCACCCTAAATGTGTTGTAAATGTGAACTGACAAAAAGTGTGAAGAGTGCGGTACGCGAGCTGTCGAAACGATTTCCCTGTAGATGGAAGTTGAAATCCCTTCCGGGAGAAGGATTTTCCATTTCCTTTGGCCTTTACTGAAGTATTTCGATTCACGTGACTTGCCGTAGCGTAGAGCATTGAAGATGCAGCTTTAAGGTTTTCTATATTTTACTAAACATTATTTTTGATGGCATTCAATCGCTGAACATCAAAGTTAAAAAAATATAATACTCACGTTTACAAACCTTCCGATGGGTGATCGGTTTGGTAGCATCCCGGTAGTATCCTTCTCGGCAGTAGTGGCAGTGTCGACCGGTGGTCGCGTGTCGACAGTTGAGACAAACGCCACCGGAGATCCGGCCGGACATCTTGAACAGCTCCATGTTGAAGCGGCAGCGCCGTGCGTGACCGTTGCAGTTGCACACTGTAAATAAACAGATAATAAAGTGATCATTTGGATGACAAAGTATTTAACGAGAACCGGGCTGAAGTGTCATGCGCCAGCCGATGGTGAGGGCGGTAGAGGAAATGAAGGAAATTGCACGTCCTACAATGAACGGCCCACGGATGTTTATCTTCTTCATCTTTCTGTTCGGATCAGTGTGACGTATGAAAAATGTATTATTTTACTGGCAGCAGCCGTCGTGTACAACCTCGCGAAATCTCACAAGACCAGCAAAACCGCCAAACGAAGGAATGTGGGTGATCGCACTGCAAGAAAAGTGCGAATGAAAAGTGAAAGAAAGATTGTGTTACCTATTTAATCTTTAATTTCCGGGCCTGGAAGAACGACTAGCTAGAAACAAGGGTGAATGTGAAGATTGGAGGCGGGTTACTCTCATTGAGAACCGGATGAAAGTCTCAGGATTGGTGTGAACTATTCATTGGGAATCTTTATGGTAGAATCGATGCTTGTCAGCATATTGTGCATTTATTGTACAAAATGGTGACGTTTAGAGAATATACAAATTTTGCAGAATTTAAGTTCTTTCTACTATACACCCGAGAAAGATAGTACTGCATATTTTAATGAATAATCTACAGAATGTTTAATGTTTCTCCACATAAAAAAATTCTGTTATGTGGTTGTCTTCTTCTTCTTCTTCATTCCTTTATTTAACGTCGGTCTCTGTTCCACAATTTAGTGCCAATCACCGACGGACATCGATTGCCATCCATTGACGGCAACCGAATGTGCAGGAAGGCAGCTTCCACACCTGCGTAGGATATCGCCGTTCAAACACACATGGGCTGGGACCAACGGCTTTACTTCCCTTCCGAAGGAAGACGTGACTCAAAAAAATCCCACCGACCTTGGCTGGGATTGAACCCAGACCCATTGGGGTGAGACAGCAGTCACGCTTACCACTACACCACCGTCGCCGGCAATGTGGTTATCGGAAGGTTTTAAAAATTAAAACTTTAAAATTTTGGAGCTAAGTTTTTTTTTCCAATGCACTGAACATAGAACATCTTGTGACCGTTTCATACGAATATATATATTCAAGAAAAACTTTCTTGTACGCTAGCCTATTCTATAAACTGACATTACATTTGATGTAAGGAACATACAGTTGTGTTCGATAAAATAGCAGCGCATGCCGATTTTCATACAAAATGGTCAACTTTGACATGATGTAACTTTGTTAACTTATGATCAATTGAGCTGAAACGTTCGCCAAAGAACTACAAATATGTTCAAGTTTACGATTACAAAATATTAAATTTTTGGAAGCACCTGCCGGAAAGTGAGACACCAGGTAAAATTGTTCAAAATAATAGCAGTACTAATAATTATCATTTCAGCTTAGTTTTGAGATTTTAAATTTTAACACCGGTGAAGAAGTAGCGGCCGCATATCTACGGGCGCGCTTCGAAATCATCGTGATGTCTTGGATTCCTTCACAAAATATCGGGTGAGATCTTTCCTTTATTTTGCTCTCAACTTTCATTCCATTATTATTTGGAACATTATATGCTGGGTACGGGAGGGTCCATCAGGGTTGGAACACGTATACATTCACATACGAACATAAGCATACACGAACATACATACAAATACAGATATGTTTCGATCTAGTCGATCTGTGCCGAATTGTACATGGCACTCGGCCCTGGATTGAAATACGGTTTTCTAAACGATATATAGGGTAGTACCAGTTGTGGATATACGGGATTCCCATAGGCCATAATTGGAATACACCATAATAGAAACGCACAATACTTAAACGATTCCAAATCGGATCCTGAATAACCCGAGGGGGGCGACACATCTAAATCTCAAGTTTAGATGCTCAACAAATCTCATACTAGTGAATCAATCTTCGAACAATCTTCTTTCAATTGTCGCATCTACTTGCATCGCGCATCATCTTTGTGCAGGAAATCTTCAGAATCGTCTTCAATCTTCTTTCTATCTACTCAGCGTACGCGCAGCTAGCCACAGCAAAACACAATCTTTTCTGCATCGTAGATAGAGTCGTCCCCCTCGGACTAACCATCAAAATTTGAACCCATTTGGTGAGAAATTGAGATGGCACAAACCATTTGAAGTTTGTATGGAAATTACTATGGTAAAACGAAGATTTTTGTTCATGTCTATCTAATAATTCACCATATCGGTCTGCTCAAAAGCTTTCAACTGTACTTTTAGGAAATTTTCCCAGCTACAACTTTGCTGAAGACCACTTTAAATGCAAGGATCGAAAGTTATCAATGGTTCAATGCGCTAATGTCTTATCATCATGCTCAATCAACTGCTCAGCAGGCAACATTGGTGTTTTTGGGGCGTTGAATAGGACACATAAATCATGGCTACTATGTCACACTGTCTCGTTTTACATAGAAACGATATTTAGCAAAGTTGTAGCTGAGAAAATTTTGCTATAAGAATGGCTATCGAACTGTTTCGCAGCTCAATATGGAAAAAAAGACTAGAAGGCAATGAACAAAAAGTTGAGATTTCCCATAGTAATTTACATGTAAACTTCAAATGGCTTGTGCGAAGTCTGTTTCTAACCAAATGAGTTTTAACTTTGGGAGGCTAATCAGGACCCGATTTTAAACCATTGAAGCACTGTGGAGCGAAAAGTCAAATTTTGCATCAGTCTAATCCACCTCTTCAAGGTGGTTTGTTTAAAAAGACGTTAATAGATGGAAGCACATCCATAACTGAAACACCCACCCTATGTCCTTCTTTGTAAGAAGGGATTAACATGTGATGATGGGCAGTGTGTTAAATCGAGGGTATATTGACCGGGGTGGGGATCTGTGTTCAGATTTATAAAATTGAGCCTTTATAGAAGTTCAGAGAAGTTGAGGGAACGTCATTTGATTTAAGAAAACTCCGTTAGTACAGGGAACGTTGAAGAACTTCGTAGTACTAGAGTACGACAACCAGGAAACTACGTAGCAGTTTAAGAAACGTTTCTAGAAGTGTTGCAAATTTTGAAAAAGTTCTGCCAACTTTGCAGAGGAACTGCGAACTCCGAAGTATTACAGTGAACTTCGTAGAATGTTTTTGTAAAACTTTATTGAACTTTGTAGAAATTTGCCGAACTTTAGAGAACTTGAAATTCTTTCAACCTTAGAATAACCTTAGAAATCTTCTCACGGTGTATTTTATAGAACAACTTCAATATAAAAAAAATCGGCAAGTCTGATATTTGCATACACGTAAGAATAGATTTTTACCTATCGTTTGCGACCTCGATTGAAATAATCGGTCGGGGCGTCAACAGCAACTTTTTTTAATGTTTTTTTTTGCACTTAAACTATGGTTTTACAATGATAGCTTTTGAATATCCAAGACATTGGTAGTAAAAGCCCTCATCCCCCTTTTGATTTAAAAAGGGACAGCCGAGTGGACAGAAGAGTAGAGAAACCGGGGTAAGTAGAGAAGTCGGAGGATAAGTAGGCTTTTCGATTAAATATTCTGATTCTGATCCTACGAAGTTGCAGAACTCTTGAACATGGAAACGCAAGATATTTTACTTTGAGCTATTTTGTTGTCCTGCCTGAATCCAGCTCTCTGCAAATTCTTCAATTCTCTGAAGATATCCAGAAATTAAGTTTTCTTGAAGGCAAGCTTTGAACACCTCAGCACAACGGTCAAGTACCTACGAATAATCGCTTAATTAAGTTAATGATAATAAGAGAAGAGTTAAATTTACATTTCGGAAAATACTGAACGGTTTATCAGATTTCAACAATGTCCTCTTCTCCAGTAATTTGTGGATATTTCTACCTGTAAAGCCATATTTGCTATGACGTTGACTTGAACTAAGCTTCACCCACTGTTGAGCAGTTGTTGGATCAACAGCTCCAACACCTTTGTAAATGGCGTTTATGATCCCAAGTACGAAATGGAGCACGGGTGGTGGACAAAGCAGAACAGTTCTTTGATCGTTTATCATCAGCACCATCAGTCTTCCATTTTATGTAACTTGTGTTTATTAAGTTCAACGTTCTTGGAACCTTGCTCTCTTGAGAAAGCATGGACTTACTTGTGCAGCAATATGGACAAGGATAAGTTGAACTGTGACCCATGATACCTATCAAAAGATTTATGATTTTTAGGTCACCTGCGACAACCGCTTTGAATTTGTCCAACGTGAGAAGTGTCGACTAAAGTTGTACAATATAGGTGTACTTTTTCGGAATTACTGCAAGAAGAAACAACTTCTTCACTCCTGTATCTTTAGGTCCATTCCCCCTTTTTCGCTCCTTTTCTACGATAGATAACGTTATCTTAAATGAGCCTCATCTCCCAGCTGCTCCTATCTTATAGAATACATCGGTATTAGATAGAAATCTTTCATGTTCAACATACTCGATTAAAGCCTTCACGTCGTTACAGTATATGACTGGTTTCATCTAGACTCTTGAAGAAGACCCCTTATTGGTCTGCTCCAATTTGAATGGAAGACGTGTAACAAACAAGAATTCCTTGAGCTGCATCGATGTCCGATAGATAACGTTGTTGAACTAGGCAAATCAATTTTTCGGTTAGTTTTCGCAAATTAGTCTTCTTTAGGCATAAAACACAAACTAATTTAAGTCGATGGATGTGTAGATACTGCAAACTGCATTGTAAAGCCAATGATCTTAAGGAAAATAAACTTAATAACGTTGCTCTAGACCCCCCGACCGATTACTTTCAATGAGATCTTAAATGATAGGGAAAGGCCTCTACTTGCACGAGCCTAAATATCAAAATAGCCGATTTTTTTTAAAATAAAGTTCTCTATAAAACACACCGTGTTCTTAAGACTTGACTTCTGACTAAAATTCTGAAAACTTCGGAGCTTCGTAAAATTCTAGGAACTTCATAAACGTGGGAAATTTGTACAAGTTTCGGGAACTTCGTGGGAGTTAAAGGAACATTGTTTAAGTTAATGAATCCTCATAAATGTTCGGGGATCT